TATTATTATTATTATTATTATTATTGTTATTATCATTATTATTATTAATATTGAGGTAAAAATTTTTGTTTATTAAATTGGAATTAAAAATAATGGATACAATAATTGTAATTATTAAAAAAAAAAAAACTTTATTTTGTACATACATAACATATGTTCTATTGAATCCATTTTTACAATAATAGATATGAAATATATATATATATATATATATATTATATGTTTGTTTTTAATAATTTAAATACATTTTTTTTTATTTAATTTCAATCGAACAGTAAAATTTAATAAAAACTAATCTCATTACGATTTTGAGATAAACAAAGAGAAAAAGAAATATAAGTAATTATTATTCAGAGTATTATTATAATGAACGAGTTTCAAATATTATTTTTGAAAAATAATTTCGTAGGTTTCTGCTACTAGGTGAAAAAAAAAAAAAACGTTGTTTTCTAAATCTAATTAACAGTTATTAAATAAAGTAATAATTATAATAAAATTGTGACCTGAATTAATTTTTGATTAAAATGAACGACCAAACAGAATAAAAAAAAAGTTCTTCTAACATAAATAAATAAATGTTTTATATCTAGATCAAAAATTTTCTCCGAACGCTTTTTAAATACAAATATAAAATTACTGTTTAAGCCGGAATAATTAATTTTACAATAGTTTGATTTTTTATTAATAAAATTAAATTTTTTTTTCAGGTTTCGAAACGCACTTTTCCGTACGATCACAGATCTTTTATTTTATTAAATTGCTATACTAATCTTAATTATTTCCCTGCTAAATTTTTTTATTGTATTCATTTAGATTTTTTTTTTGTTTAATTAATTTCTTAATTATCAGTGATGTTTCTTCGTTGATTTCGTCCGTTGCAACCTATTAGTACCATTTTTATCTGAGTCATTATTCGAGTATGGAATTCTGAATAGCATAATTTTTAGGTGATTACAAATTTCTAAACAAACTTGAGAGCTGTATTTCAAAAAATCAAATGCAACCCAGATCTAAAATTAAAAAAAAATTATTTTAAAACTTTTTGACAAATAAATTATTAAAAACAATTTTTTTTTATTATAATTTTTTCATAATAATTTAATAATTAACTAGCAACCTTGCAGTCACTATGTGACTACCGCTTTATTAAATGATGACTTTAATTTAATTGCACAGTACTTTCTTAAATTTTGACATTTATAAAGATATAAGCTCATCCCGATGTTACACTCATCAAGAGCTTTCATTTGAGTACCCCCATGCATTTTTGATATATTTTTCATATATACATAAATATATATAATATATATAAATATATAAAATATATGAAAAATTGATGTGGGTACTCAAATGAAAGGTCTCGATGAGTGTAATGTCGGGATGAGCTTATATCTTCAAAAATATCATTAGTTGACATGATACAATATAACTTCTTAACTATTGACATTTTTAAAGATATAATCTCATCCTGATGTTACACTCATCAAGAGCTTTCATTTGAATACCCACATGCATTTTTGATATACTTTTCATATATACATATATATGATATATATAAATATATAAAATATATGAAAAATTGATGTGGGTACTCTAATGAAAGCTCTTGACGAGTGTAACATCATGATGAGCTTATATCTTAAAAAATGTCAATATTTCACATGATACAGTTTCATTTCTTAATAATGTATGTTGAGATAAAAAAAAATTGATAATTTTTTAAAAATTTCTATTAAATTTTTTTTATAATAATCCAATAATTAACTATCATTAATACTTACAAAGCACAACCAAAGAACATAGTACTCATCAAAGTAAAAATTGAAATATTGATTAAGGAACAGCATACACGGTCCAATCAACGCAGTATCAAGATATTCCATTTCATTTTTCGTCATATGCGCTACCTGAAAAACAAATAAAAATAACATTAATTAACACTCTTAAATAATTAAAAAAAATTTTTTTTTTAATTAACTAAAATACTTACGACCAATCGATTAGTAACTTTAGCAGCTACCATTCCAAAGGACAAAATATAGAGCGCTGGATGATTTTGATAAACTTGATCCGCGCTTTTCCGATAAATAATATACGCCGGCACGACGACGAGGCTGAAGGGTATGATCGGCGACAGGACCGATGTTCCCTGGACAAATTAAAATAATTAATAAATCATATTTAAATAAAAACATTGACAAGAAAAAAAATTAAAAATAATTTTTTTATTAAAGAAGAAATAGAAAAAATTCATGCAGTTCATTCAACTAATTAGTAACATTACATTTATTATGAATCACAAGTAAAGTATGAATTAAATGTAATTAATATTAAATGATTAAAATGAAAAAAGATAAAAAAAGCAAATTAAATTAAATAAATAGCACAGCCAAATACTTATATTTTTATTAAAAAAAAAAAAAAAAAAATAATTAAAACAGTATTTTGTTATTAAAAAATTTTTTTTAATGATCATGTTAATGTGGAATGTCGTAGCGTATAGAGTAATATTATTTTTTAATTATAATTATAATTAAAAAAATTAATTTTGATTAAAAAAAACATTTTTGAGTGCTTAAAAAATTATTTCTTCTTTCTCTCTCTTTTCATTTTCTTTTTTTTTCGTGATATTAACTTACGGCGACGGTTGAACCATTTTTTCCAACACCACCACCCAGAATAACAGATAAACTGCTTTGTGCAAGTAAAATAGCTATTCCCACAGTGCACCATAACGAAACTACCTTGAGCTCTGTGCCAATCAGTGGCAACTGAACATAAAAATAATTATTTATTCAACTAATAACTAAAACATTTTTAAAAACAATAATTTAAAATTATAATTATAAAAAATAAATAAGCTAAAAATTTTTATTTTAGTATTTTTAATTCCGGTGGGAAGATTTTTTTTTATATTCTTCAGCAGCATACCCATAAGCATTACGATGTAAGTTAATTTTTTTTTTGCTAATAGTTTTTCTACAGAGATTGTTTATTTTTTTTTTTTTTTCAGCGAGTTTTATCACTTACTGCTATTGTCGAACCATTTTTGCCGATCCCACCGGACGAAAATGATTTTACAAAGTCTATGAAGACTAAAAAAAATCCGCAATAAAAAATTCCGGATATCAATTGAGACATTGAAGTCATTCCAAGGATCTAAACAAATTTTTTCTCTCGATTAAAAAACTTATTTTTGGAAAAAGTAATAAAATTATTTTTTTGAAGTTATATTATTTTAGCCCGGTGAATACGCTCTGACAATTCCTGGTTTAATTTAATGTAATGATACTGTAATTAGATTGTATTTTTTCAATTTATAATATTTTTAAAAATATAAGCTCATTCCGATGTTACACTTGTCAAGAGCTTTTATTTGAGTACCCACATGCATTTTTGATATATTTTTCATATATACATATATATAATATATATAAATATATAAAAAATTGATGTGGGTACTCAAATGAAAGGTTTCAATGAGTGTAACATCATATTTTATATATATTATATATATGTATATATGATAAATATATCAAAAATGCATGTGGGTACTCAAATGAAAGGTCTCGATGAGTGTAACGTCAAGATGAGCTTATATCTTTAAAAATGTCAATAATTAAAAAATTATATTGTATTTTGTCAACTTATGATATTTTTAAAGATATAAGCTCATCTTGATGTTACACTTATCAAGAGCTTTCATTTGAGTACCCACATGCATTTTTGATATATTTATCATATATACATATATGTAATATATATAAATATATAAAATATATGAAAAATTGATGTAAGTACTCAAATAAAAGGTCTCGGGGAGTGTGACATCAAGATGAGCTTATATCATTAAAAATGTCAATATTTTACAAGATAAAAGGTTATTTCTTAAATGTGTATCTAGAGATAGAGTATTTTCAAATGCAGTCTAAGTACTTATCATAATAAATTGATTATTGGTTAAATATCCATAAATACAGTATCATTTAAAAATAAGTCCCATATAAATAAATAATTAAAATACTAAATGCATGTATGAGGCTAAAAAATATGAAGTATTGAAATGGCTGGGAGATAAAGCTATAAAAAAAATGATCTAAGAAGAAATATAAAATATTTGTATACATATGCCGGCGTTGAAATGGAATTATGTATTGACATGCCATGCTACATCCTGTCCTCGAGGATATAAAATTTTTAGTAGCAGCAAACATATGATAAAAATAATTTCAACAATGATTAAATAATTCATTAATCTGTCATAATTTGTTCTCTTAAAACAGGATTTAATTATTTTTTTTGTTTTAATCATCGTGGACTTACAGCAACAGTCGACCCGTTTTTTCCAACTCCGCCAGTAAAAATAACGGTAAACATCGAATTAAAACTCGATAACGCACAGATGGTTGTTACACCACCAATTAAATACTTTAATTGCAAGCCATTTAAGTAGGGAATCTGTAAAGAAATACTTTTCTCGGTTAAATTTGATTATTTTACAGCGACTCCCAGGGTTTTGTTCATTGTCAGACGTTTTTGCGCTTCTACCTTTCTTTCGTCTAGATTTTAGTGCTTTGATTATGACAAATAGTTGCTGTGAATTTTTTGGCTTATATAATAATAATAATAATAATAATAATAATAATGATAAGGAATTATTTTATTATATTGAAAAAAATACAACCTCAGTCATCCAAATTTCTGGGCCAAATATCGCAGACGTCAGGTGAATTGAGATTATGGTAAACTGAGCTTCTGTAACATCTATTTTTCCAAACTTCAGTGAACCTGGATAATTATAAATTTTAAAAATTAATTATTAATTATTAATAATAATAAATTATAAATTACAAAATTAACTTAAATATTAAAGAGTAACTATTCATAATATTAATTTAATAATTTATCAGTGCGTAAAAATATCATTTTGCTTGACTGAATTTTATTTATATTATTAACTTAAGAGAATAAAAAAAATTTTTATTCCAAGATAGTCATATAAAAAAATCGTTTTTTTTTTTAGTGAAATTTAGTCTCATTACAAAGATCTTAAATTTAATTTGTGCCTAATTGTACATAATTGAGAAATTGCCTTTTATCTTGTGAAATATTGACATTTTTAAAGATATAAGCTCATCTTGATGTCACACGCATCGAGACCTTTCATTTGAGTACCCACATCAATTTTTCATATATTTTATATATTTATATATATTACATATATGTATATATGGAAAATATATCAAAAATGCATGTGGGTACTCAAATGAAAGGTCTCGATGAGTATAACATCGGGATGAGCTTATATTTTAAAAAATGTCAATAATTAAAAAATGACATTGTATCTTGTCAACTAATGATATTTTTAAAGATATAAGCTCATCCCGATGTTACACTCATCGAGACCTTTCATTTGAGTACCCACATCGATTTTTCATATATTTTATATATTTAATATATGAATATATGAATATATGAAAAATATATGAAAATACATGTGGGTACTCAAATGAAAGCTCTTGATGAGTGTAACATCAGGATGAGCTTATATCTTTAATAACGTCAATATTTAAAAAAGTACAGTGCAATTTAACAAATGTAATTTTTTATAAAGAATTTTTTAGTTGTAAACTTTACCTGAAACATAACTCTGCCAGTGCGCGCAGTAAAAAAGTGTCATCGCACAAAAGCACTGGAAAAACATCCAATTAGGATAATGTCCTAATTGCACTGCTATGCATGCCGATAGCGCAACAAAAACTAAAAAGAGAAATAAAATCAATTAATAATAATAATAATACCATCAAGAATAATTAATAATACACATATCACATAACTCTATTGTCTTTTAAGAATAAATAAAAAAAAAAAAACCTCAGTTCAATAGCACACTATCAATTTACTCCTTATCATATTAATATACCGAGTAGATTGAATTTAAAACGCAAGTGTAATAATAATTCACAATAAAAATACAAAATTAATTATCAACTCTCTAATATGTTTTCAATACTCTTTAATGTCATAATTATTCTATTAGATCTAATTTAATGACTGTGACCTTTAAATGTTGATAAAAAATATTTTTAAGATAATTTTTTTATTAAAAAAATTCTTTCATAATTTTTAAAAATTTCTACAAATACGTAGAATTTTTTTTATTTTTCTAAAAATTCTAGAAAATTATTTACAAAAAATTTAATAATTTTTTGGAGCTTTTAAAGAATTAAAAAAAATTTTTTTCAAGGCAACAAACTTAAATTTTTTCATAATAAAATTTTTTTTTTAATTATATATTAAAAGTGTAATTAAAAAATACCTAATAGGTATTAAAGTTAGCCGACTTTTAAAATTTTTTTTTTCATTAATAAAATTAGAAAAAAAAATTGCACTTGTAATTTTTCAAGTTTTTCATAAAAAAAAATTTTTTTATAATTTTTTTTCAATAAAAAAATTTTCAGAAAGCTAATTTAATTTTGATAATTAAAAATGATACACATACCAGTAGATACAGAATCACATCCATGATCAAACAATTCTCCAAGCGGCGAAGAAGATCCAGTCCTCCTGGCCTGTTTTCCGTCTATAGAGTCCAAGCTTTGGTAAATAAATAAACCTAGAGCGCACAAGAAGCAAGCCCATCTTGGTGGCTGTAAAAAACCAGCATTAATTAATAAATTAATTATTACCAGCCTTAAAGAGTTATTAATAAATAAACATACCTCAGCCTTGGCGTCAGGACTATAATAAACAAGAATCAACGTCGTAGCAATATTAATAACAAGTCCTACAATTGTTATAAGATTGGGAGCCAGCCAAAGGGGCACTTTGCTAACCAACCAGTCCCACCAGGGTTGGAGATAACTGTCCAACAAGCTAGCACTCGAGCAGCTGTATTTATGCTCTGACAAGCGCTTCAGTTGTCCAGGTGACAGTATTTTTTCCTTGTAAAACTGCATCATCATTTTGGATTTTTTTTTTTTTTTTTTATAATTACTAGAGTATCTTTATCGTTTAAATATGAAATAATAATTTTTTAGTGGTTATTCAACCGTTTTTAACAGCAATTCAAATTCACAAGTCCAGCTAGACATAACAATTATTTAAATTATTTTTTTTTTTTTATAAAACTTCACTATCCTTGGTACTTTTATTTCACATTTGGATTATCAACCGGACATTTATATTTTTAACCAATTATTATTTATTGGATTTAATATTACTACTGTCAACTATATATTAACTGTGACATTGATAGTTTTTACCATGGAGACTACATAAGGAGCACGAGCTCTAACGGGTCAATTGCCAAAGTTTGCCCACTAAAATTGTGGATATTAAGCTTTTTTTTTTCTACCACTGGCGTCGCTCATGTTCTTTGTGTACCGCTCTGAAAATAGCATCTAAGCATCATAAATATATGTGAAGTAAGTAAAATTTTTACTGTGCTTCGTTTTTTTACCGATAAATTACCTACCGATGTAAAAAAGAGACAAATTCTGATAAACTGCCATATCAATGAGTGTTTTCATTCATTTTGTCCAACTTCACTAAAACTTCACATTAAGACTTTTACTAAAACATTTTGATAAAAGTTAAAGTCAAATTTCGGCCCTAGATTGTATAAAAGTTGGACTGCAACTTAACGTTAACTTTTACAATTGGATGGCTATCAGGGTATTTGAATCAGCGCGTTGCTTTACTGCCATGCTGTTAATATGTGACATAACCTTAAATTATTCTGAATAATGTTCACTAAAACACAAGAATTTTTTATGAAATATTTTTATTGTTAAAAACAAATAAATATTCTGAGATTTTTTAAAAATAGTTTTTTTTTTCAAAATGGCGGACCGCTTGACGCAACTTCAAGACACAGTTAATCAGGTACTGTTTTTATATATGCTTGTCAGTAGTAATTTTGTTTTTGTAAACAAATTGGTATTTTTGTGTTTATATTGTCAATTTTTATTTTGTGATTTTGGAAAATTGATATTGTTTATTAATTGAATTTTTATTATTGTGGCTTTAAGGTTAAAAAAATTTGTTTGAAAATAAATTAGTTATAGAAATTTAATTTAATTTTTATAAAATCGATTGCAACACAAAATTTCCAAGTTAATTTATTATGATAAGTATTTGGACTGCATTTGAAAATGTTCTCTGGATACATAATTAAGAAATGACCTAGTATCTTGAGAAATATTGACATTTTTAAAAATATAAGCTCATCTTGATGTTACACTCATCGAGACCTTTCATTTGAGTACCCACATCAATTTTTCATATATTTCATATATTTATGAATATTTTATATATGTATATATGAAAAATATATCAAAAATGCATGTAGATACTCAAATGAAAGGTCTTGATGAGTGTAACATCATGATGAATTTTTATTTATAAAAATATCAAAAGTTGACAAAAGACAATATAATTTCTTAATGATTGACATTTTTAAAGATACAAGCTCATCCCGATGTTACACTCATCAAGACCTTTCATTTGAGTACCCACATGTATTTTTTATATATTTTTCATGTATACATATATATAATATATAAATATATAAAATATATGAAAAATTGATATGGGTACTCAAATGAAAGGTCTCGATGAGTGTAATTTTAGGATGAGCTTTTATTTTTAAAAACGTCAACATTTAAGAAAGTACAGTGCAATTCAACAAAATTCATTATTTAATAAAGCAAAATTTTAATTTTTCATAGTTCATAAATCACGGCAGTCACATATTGACTGCAAGGTTGCTAGTATATAATTGAACAACAATTAATATATAACTAATCAATTAATAATAATAATAATAATAAAATAAAAAAATATTTTTTCATCAAACGAATTTTTACAAATACTTTTTAATTACAAGTTTATTGTTTTCTAAATAAATTTTTTATTTTTATTTACAAATTATTATTAACTTGTTTAATAATTAATTTTCCATAAAATTTACTTTCCAGCAAGCCGAGCACTTTTGCAACAGCGTAGGAATCCTCCAACAATATTCAACCCCGAGTAAGTTCCCGGGTTTCGACCGAATAGGAACTCCTCAGCCGCAAGAAGACTACGCGGCTTTATTCGCGACGCTGATCATCAGGTGCGCCAAGGACATCGACACCCTGATCGAGAGCTTGCCGAGCGAGGAGTCTTCCCAAGAGCTCCAAGTAGCGAGTCTCAGCCGCCTCGAGCAAGAGAACCTGGAAGCCGGCGAGCAGCTGGAAGAAGTCGTTCGCCAAGGCGAAGCTCTCTTGCAGCGCATCCAGGCCGCGTTGCAAGATATTGCTCAGAGCCAGCTTGACATGCAGAATCCCATCGCGCCGACAGCTTCGTCGCTCAATTCTGGGATTAATTCTACTCAGTTTCAGCAAGAGGCTTTTAATTCTAACTCTGTGTCTGGTAATGGATCCAATTCTCATGCCAGTCACACGCCTGAAGCTTCTGCTGCTTCAATTAGTCAGTAAACAATTTAATCTAAAATAATAATAATAATAATAATAATAATACATAATAATACATAATAGCATTAACAAATAAGTAATTAATAATAATTAATGATAAAAAATAAAAATAATAAATAATAAGTAATTATAATTTTTTAGGATCAACTTAATTAATTTTTGTAATATTAAATATCTTGTTAATGTTATTAAATAAATTAATAATATTTATCTATAAAATTTAGTAATCAAACATTATTTTCACCAGATGTGAATAATTTAATTAATATAATTTAATTTTAAGTAATAAAGGCTAATAAAACAGTTCCCCGGAGTGCTGGAGTGAGGCAGACGTAGAATCGGAAGCGGAATTATCGAGCAGGCCAATCCCAGCAGGTTATAAAATACTCACCAACATAGTTACGACGAGGCTAGAAAAAGTTTGGAAAATCCAAAAGTGCACGCCTCATAACGCTCATTCATTTTTTAAGAAAAAATAACTGTGTTATTGATTAAAAAAAAAAATAATTTTTTACAGAGTATTTTTTTTTTTTAAATATCAGCGCCTTTTTTTCTTGTCATATGCGCACGCAGTCTAAAAAAAATCTAGCTTGATCAAGTGTCGCCATAGTTTTCACGTGACAAATAAGAATAATTCGTTTGTCTTTGTACGGTTGTATCATATAGTGAATTTTAATAAAAATTCAATTTATAATAAAAATACGTAAACTAGGCTATTGATATGAAATACGGACCCAGTTCATGGCATTCTTGAACTAATAAAAAAGGTCTGGTCTTGAAATATCAATTTGTTCGGGAGTAATCGTTGGTACATCCAAAATAGGCTGACAATGTCATAAAGCCTAGACCTTTATGCGATAAGTGTAATGCCATAATGAAACTTTTAGACGAGAATGGTATACGATTTAACCAAAAATGTAATGCCAACAATTCCCCCTACAATTACCGTGATATCTTCTACTGGAGTAATGTGCATCAGCGATTGAAACGTGATCTAGGAAAATTCGATAATAAAGTCACTGATTTAGGAAAAATTTCTTGTCTTAATACTCCTGGCATGTATGGTAATCTTATTGAACATGAATGAGACTTACAACAATTATATCGACTATTTGGAAAGTAATGCTGGAGAAAATTTAAAACCGCTATCGGCTTCCGAGAGATATTGTAAGAAAAAACTAATTTTTATTTTTTTTATTACATTATACAACTTTTTAAAATATTTATTATTTATTTACTAATTCATCATTTAACTTTTTCTAGCGCCCAGTTTCATGATCATGGGGTGTGTCAATGCGATAAGTGTGTTGTCATGCGCAAACTTTTAAAAGAGGAAACTACCGACCGTTTTAACGAAAAATCTAAAGCCTATAATCTCCGCCGCAATTACCCTGATGATATTGTCGACGAAAACAATGTGGAGTTGCGATTGAGATTAGATCAAGGAAAATTTGAGAATAAGATCTCTGAATTAGGAGATAATTCTTGTTTTTCTGCTGCTCGTATTTATGCTTGTCTTGTTAATAAGTATGAGACTTACAACAATTACATCGACTATTTGGAAAAGTATGCTGAAGAAAATAAAATAGTTGATCTGATTTCAATCCAATAATAATTAATCAGAATAAATTTGTTTGTTAAATAAAATAAAAAAATAAAAATAACTGCTAACTTTAATTTCATCTAAAAAATTGCATTTATAATTTTTTTAAATTCCTACAAGTCAATATTTTTTTTTCTCATCCTTTTATCATAATTTATTTATTAACAAAAATTCTAAAAATTATTAAATATCTGCTAAATTAATTATAAAAAATTCCACATGTAAGAATTAATATAAATTATTAGTGGAAATTTTTGGAAGCATTTTTATTATTGTAAATAATTATTTAATAATTTATTAATTAAATTACAACTAAGAAGATATTTCTAAAAAATAAAAAATTGCACTTATAGTTTTTCAAATTTTTTACATGTGAATTTTTTTTTTTTTAATTGTTTAATTGAAATTTCTTCAATAAAATTTCAAAAATTTCTAAAAATTTTGAAATGTCAGCTAACTTTATTTTCATATTTCTAGGAAGACCATTCAATATATACCATTGGGTTATAATTAAAGGAAAGTATTAAATAAAATTTACTCTACAACCTTAGTTTTATTAATTAACATAATTAGTTCATAACTTATCAACACAACTATTGATTGTTTGGCTTAAACGATAGTATAAATGAAATTAAACTTGAACAATAATTTATTCTATTAATTACATCTATGGCATCGTCGCACCATTCCAAATTTGCGTCGCTGCATCGGAATTTACCAGTGGCTATAGCTCTCTTCATAAAAAAAAACAATTTCTCTTCGTTCATTTCAAAATTAGTGGTCTCGTTCATGGTTCTTAGGTACACGTCCAACAATTTTTCATTCAGCATCTTGATTTCTTCCAGGAATATACAAGTATTGCAAATTTTTGCAGGTTGTAGTTGCTGAACTTCTGTGAAAAAAAAATTTTTTTTGATAAAAAAGAATTAAAAATAATTGAAAGCTTCGAAAAGAAACTCAAATTTCATTTTTAATAATTTTTTTGTTTTAATTAGGGATTATAAATTTATAATCATAAAGTAAAATACCTGAGCTAGAGCTACCAATGTCAAAGGACTTAAAAAGGCTGGTGATGGACGAAGTGTCTTGAGGCTTGGCTCCATCATCTTCTGCTTGTCTCTGCATACTTAGAGTTCTAGAGAAAATTAAATTTGTTAGTCAACTCTTACAGTATATCTTAAAAATCAAAATTTTTATAAATAGCAAGTTATACTTAACACTAACAATTATTAATAATTATAATTTTTAAATGAAATTAATTAATTTTACTTGTTGTGTTTTATGGTGTGTATGTTATATTTGTTTACGTTTGTTCTAGATCTTTGATTAGCCAGAGTGGTGTTCTCTATATTATTCTACAGTAAACTTTCTATAAAGTTTCGGGGGTAGGAAACTATTCAAAGTAGATCTTAAAGAAGCGTTGCTTATTTTTTATGATCCAATGAATCCAAAGAATAGTTAGTAACTCACCAGTACACTGAAATAGTTCCCGGAAAATTTTATGTTGATATGTAACTCTTGTTACGAGCTTTATGTATTTTGTAAATTGCAGTTTTTGTTACTCCGTATTGCTCAGCTATGTCAGTTTTTCAGTGATTTTTTCATCGAGCAGCTTACTTAATATAATATCAATTTTTTATTTCACTTCACAATTATACTTTTTCTTTTATAATGTTTTATCTTTCATAAGGTGCGTTAATTTACACGTGGTCTATTGTAACTTATTGAAAAACTTAGTATGATGTTACCATCACTAGAAAGGTCAAAACACGGGAGAGCAAACACCCAGCAGTTTTTTGGGTCCGAGATTTTGGCAGTCCCTTAGTTGTTAATCGGGGGGAGAACTCATACCCAATTAGCACTCGAGTTTCGGGACTCTTATACCCTCTCTCCGCGGATGTTTCGGAAAATGCTGTAGCGGAAATCTGCCTCGAATGCTGACTTGCAAGTACAGGTCACAGGATACACATATTGTACACTTTTCCATGAATAAGCGCATCTATACACAGAAAAATGCATACAGAGACCTTGATCTTAACTAATATTCCCCGTACCTACTTGAAATTAAATATTAACTATTAATAATCTTATTAATAATTAATCAATTTCTGTGAACAATTGATCAACAATTAAAAATGTTTTTGCTTAATGTATTTATAATGACGAAAATTTTCCAGTCTGGAACCAGATGCCACAATGTATTTAAGAATACCCTTTAAAATTTTCTGTAAATGCATCGGGGCCTGAGAATAATTACCTTAGTAAGGGATGTGAACTTTAAGTTAAATATCCTACTACCTGGTTTACAAACGAAAAATTATGACGGTCTTCGATAAAAATAAAGGAATCGATTATTAACAATGATATAAAAGTTAGCCGACATTTTTAATTTTTTGATTTTTTTTAATAATTAAATTAGAACAAAAAAAATATTTTTAAAAAATTACACTTACAGTTTTTAAAGTTTTTTACAAGTGAAATTTTTTTTTTTTATTTTTTTGTAATAATTTTTTCAATAAAAAACAATTATTAAAATTTTTAGATGTCGGCTAACTTAATTTTCATTTATTAACAAAAAATTATATGGGTGGCTGCAAGGCAAGTAAAATAAATAATAATAATAAGTAAAAGCTTTTTTTTAAAAAAAATTTTCTTTATCAATTTCTGCTATTTTCTTCTTTGAGGTAGTAAAAAATAAATTTATTCTTTCAGATTCGTCGCTCGAGAATTTAAACTTGACTTCTCCCAAAGTTATACTGAAGCGACAATGACCTTGTGTTTATATGTTTATTGCCCATTAATATATGCAAATAACTGAAAAAGAACCATCATAACATTACTCAACGACTCTTATCTTGTAGCATCAATAAATTAACAATCCGCGAAGAGTTTCGCTGAAGAATAGAAAGATGATATCTATATATGACGCGCAAAATAAAAATAGACTTTTATATTTTACTAAAAATTGGATAAACTCTTCTGCTATTTTGTTATAAATCTCACGTAGAATAAAATAAAGAAAGAATTTATAAAACGCAATGAGGAATTCCGGCAAGTCAAGGTAAAAATATATACGTTTTAGCATGCTGCCGGCGAATTTAATCATTCAATGTACCGAGACTATATAAACAATAATTGGCTATTATTTTTTTCCAGTTGCCGTCCAATAGTCTGGGTTATCGCTAAATATTTTTCATTGCTCGGGAGTTCTTGGTAGAAGCTCGAGTACGTGTTTAAATAATTATTTCTATTATTTTTTATACTTTTTTTTTTAAGAAAAAAATCAACTAATGTGTGCACAAGTACTTACGACAATTATTTCAATTATTGTATTGAGCGTGAAGGTTCAAATTTATTCATTGAAAATCACTCGGCAAAATTATGTGTAATTTTTTTTTAAATTAAAGATTTGATTTTAGGTAAGTAAAATTTAGTAATATTTATTAAATCTTAAGAATTTTTTTAACAAATAAATTATTACAAAAAAAAATTGACAATAAGAAATTACAAAAAATAAAAAATTTATTTAAAAAATTATAAATGCAATTTTTTTAAAAAAATAATTTTCTAGATAAAATTAAAGTTAGCAGTTGCTTGAAATTTTTTTTTATATTATTTAACAATAAAATTTATTCCAAAAAATTATTTTTAAAAAATAGCACTTAATTTTTAAAAATTTTTAAATGTCAATTTTTTTTCATTCATTTTTTTTGCAATAATTTATTTATTAAAAAAATTTGTATGTTATTTTTATTTATTAATTATTGTTATAATAATAATTAATTAATATTAATATTAATATCAATTTATTCCAAAAAATTATTTTTAAAAAATAGCACTTAATTTTTAAAAATTTTTAAATGTCAATTTTTTTTCATTCATTTTTTTTGCAATAATTTATTTATTAAAAAAATTTGTATGTTATTTTTATTTATTAATTATTGTTATAATAATAATTAATTAATATTAATATTAATATCAATTTATTCCAAAAAATTATTTTTAAAAAATAGCACTTAATTTTTAAAAATTTTGAAGTGTCAATTTTTTAAAAATAATTTATTTGTTGAAAAAATTTTAAAAATTATCAGATGTTTTCAATTTTAGTATTAAGAAAAATAAAAACATTTTCCTGAAATAGAATGAAGGATTTTATTGAAAGAAAGGTCACAAGGAGATTGAACTTGATTAAAAAGATAAGTTCTGAGCATAAAGACCTGATCACAATCCCCAGGTGGGGAAGCAACACCAAATAAGCTTGAAGATTATAAAAAGCAAAAAAGAAGAAATACGAAAGCATGTTGTGATTTTACGTACTATAAAGGACTGGTGTATTTCAGCCTGATAAAATTCTCATTTAATAATTATCCTGTGGACTGAACAGACGTGTTTAATGTCATTCGATTCAAATTATTTATTCAGTGACTTTTAACTTTTAAAACTTGTTAGTGATAAATAGTTGAAATGAATTACATTTTATTGTTTATCGCGCTTATATTACCGGCAAACGTGTCTTGTTTTTTACGAGAGTTATTATTTCCACGGAAGCCGATTTTGAACCGCGTTAGGACCAGGGATTCCCTTCAAGTGAGACTTGCTGATGACACTGCTGTTTTGGACTTTGTAAGTAAATTTAATTCATCCAGTTTTATTTTATTTACAGAGTAAGATTTTTTGTTTGTAATTATCAACTATAAATTATAAATTGCAGGTAAATTTGCGGCAAGAAAATTACATTAAATATTTATCAGGTCGGTGAAGAGAATTAGTAATTTGTATTCAGTATAAATTGTTGTAAAAAAGATAAATTGTTAGTCTGTTAATTTAGATGAACTTTTTTGTTGCAATTGTGTAAATTTGCTCTACTTTACTTTACTCAAGGGTATTTTTTACAAATGATATTTATTATTGATAACATTGAAATTTAAATAGATATTTAATTTTTTTTTGAGGGGATTAATTATTATAGATTTAATTAAAAAATTTTAAAATCTAATCAGGTGTCTGCTAATTTAAATATTTTAATTATTACTTAGTAATTAATAATTAATTTTATTTTTCAATTATCGATATTATTTGTGTCCAAAATAGTCATATGAAAAAATCGGTTTTTTTTAGTGAAATTTAGTGCCTTTTCAAGGTTTCATATCATTTTCGCCAAATGTTTGGATACATAACTAAGAAATGACCTTGTATTTTGAGAACTATTGACATTTTTAAAGATATAAGCTCATCCTAACATTACACTCATCGAGACCTATCATTTGAGTACTCACATCAATTTTTCATATATTTCATATATTTATATATATTATATACATATTATATATATGAAAAATATATAAAAAATGCATGTGGGTACTCAAATGAAAGCTCTTGATGAGTGTAACATGACAATGAGCTTATATTTTAAAAAGTATCATAAGTTGACAAAATACAATATAATTTCTTAATTATTGATATTTTTAAAGATATAAGCTCATCCTGATGTTAAACTAATCAAGAGCTTTCATTTGAGTACCTACATCAATTTTTCATATATTTTATATATTTATATATATCATATATATGTAAATATGAAAAATATATGAAAAATTCATGTGGATACAAATTCATTTAACAAAAGTCATTACTTAATATACATTTTTCTAACTATTTAAAAAAATTCCAGGTCGGCTTGGTACAACAATATAACTACCCAGCAGAAGAGCACAATTTAACAACCAAAGATGGCTACAACTTGATCATCCACAGGATTCCCGATAGCCCAAAGTCAAAGTCGTTAAAAAAAAAATCAGTTGTATTTCTTCAGCACGGTGTTTTTGGTTCCTCAGACTCGTGGGTTCTTATAGGACCTGACAAAGACCTTGGTGAGATTCTTCTCCCCTGATAAAAAAAGAATGAAAACCAGTTTTTCATTAAGTCATTATATTACATTACTTATTTATAAAATAAATATTTACTCATCTAGACATTTTGATGCAAATACTCACATGTGGTTAGCCTCATAATTGGAGATAGGAGGCATAGTTTAATGATAAAAAAATTTTTTTCGCAAGAAAATAAGCGTCAAAATAATTGGTAAAGTATGCCTGGCGCATTTCAAGGTGGACCAGTCGAATGAAGTTACGGTAAAAAGCTACCGCCTACATATAATCATGTATCGCGTGCATACGACAAATATATTTATATTAATAGAGGTGCAATGAGAACGCCAGAGCCTTGAACGTAATATTTTTTTTTTTTTATAACTTTCATCTTCCATTTGCAGCTTTTATCCTAGCAGACCAAGGATACGACGTCTGGATTGGCAATGTCAGGGGTAACTCTTACTGTCGTTCACACCAAGAGCTGTCAACGTCAGACCGCGATTTCTGGAAATTCAGGTTATTTATTTATTTAATTAAAAAAAAAAATAATTAAATGTAAATAAAAATAATTTTATTAGATTATTTTTTTTAACAATTGAATTTTTTTAAAAAATAAATAATTAGATTTAAATATAAATAATTTTATTAAATAATTTTTTTTCTACATCTTTTTATTAAATAATTTTTTTTTTCTACAATTAAATTTATTCAAAAAATAATTTATTTAAAAAATAAATAATTAGATTTAATTATAAATAATTATTTTTTTTAACAATTAAATTAAAAAATAAATAATTTTATTAGATAATTTTTTTTCAACTAATAAATAATACAAAAAAATAATTTATTTAAAAAAATTACATTTTTTTAATTATAAACTCTAAAAAATTTTTAATGATTTTTTTTAGACTTGATTTATTATTTTATAAAAATTATAATATTGTCAATTTTTATTAGTCATATTAACATTTACATATTTAAAAAAATTTATAGAAGAATAAATTAATTTTAATTACGCTAATGGCAAGTAAATTATACTATTCTTCTATCCGAATTAATGTATTTAAATTAGCAAAAGTTGTTTGTTGATAATGAAGCCAGTAAATCTGTCTTTATTGCAGTCTCAGAATTTAAATTGCTGAAATTTAAGTAGACAATAAACTTATTTGATGTACTGTTAGATAATAAAATTTTAAATTATTTATTTATTTATTACAGTTATCACGAGATCGCAATATTCGACGTAGCTGAAATGATCGACTACGTTTTGAACGAGACAAACGAAAAATCGCTTACCTACATCGGTCACTCAATGGGTTCGACCGTGAGCCTTGTTCTTCTTTCGGAAAAACCGGAATACAATGAAAAAATAAAATTACTGTTCAACCTTGCACCAGTCGCTTATTGGAACGCTATCTCTCAAAGAGCTATTTATAGCGTTCTTGTTAAGTACAGAGATTTGTTAAAGGTAAAAATATAAAAATTCAAATTTAATTCAGATATTAATTTAACTTTTTTTTTGTTGTTTCAAGAAATTCCTTGAAACAATTGAAGTTTATGATTTGATGCCGCAAAGTTCAACGAATAAAATTCTGGCTAAAGAATTTTGCCGTGATAATCTTCCGACACAAGAAATATGTGTTGCTTTGATTTTTGCAAATGTTGGGATTAGTCCTCATCAGCTTAATAAGGTATTTTTAATTTTTTTTTTATTATTGATAATTTATTAAGTTAATTTTTAAATATTTTGATTATAATTAATCTATATTATTAAGAGAATAACAGAAATTTTGTGTCCAGGATAGTTTAAACTGCATTCGAAAATGCTTTATCTCTAGATACATAATTAAGAAATGACCTTGTGTCTCGTGAAATATTGACATTTTTAAAGATATAAGCTCATCCCGATGTTACGCTCATCAAGACCTTTCATTTGAGTACCCACATCAATTTTTCATATATTTTATATATTTATATATATTATATATATGTAAATATGAAAAATATATAAAAAATGCATGTGGGTACTCAAATGAAAGCTCTTGATGAGTGTAACATGACAATGAGCTTATATTTTAAAAAGTATCATAAGTTGACAAAATACAATATAATTTCTTAATTATTGATATTTTTAAAGATATAAGCTCATCTTGATCTTATATTTATCGAGACCTTTCATTTGAGTACCCACATCAATTTTTCATATATTTTACATATTTATATATATATGTATATATGAAAAATATATAAAAAATGCATGTGGGTACTCAAATGAAAGCTCCTGATGAGTGTAACATCAGAATGAGCTCATATCTTTAAAAACATCAATATTTAAGAAAGTACAGTGCATTTTAACCAAAGTCATTATTTAATAAAAAGTCACATAGTGACTGCAATTTTGCTAGTGTTAATTAATTATATTAATTACAGACAATGTTACCTTATCTTTTGAGTTACGTTCCTGCTGGAAGTTCAGTTATGGTACTTGATCATTATGGCCAAAATATAATACAGAGTATGAATTATTTTTTATTAAAATTATAAATAATTAAAAAAAAAATTCTTTTTTTAATTATTTAAAATTTTTAAATTACTAAAAAATGAATTACAGAATCATTTAGTCAATACGACTACGGTTATATCGACAACTTCAAAATATATGGAAAGAAAAGACCACCAGCCTACAATTTAAAAAAAATAACAACCAACGTTGCACTAATATATTCCGACAATGATTACTTCACTCCAGTGGAGGTAAAATAACAATAACAACTCAACAATATAAGCAATAAATATCCGCACAAATTTAATTAACAAATAATAATTACTTTCCACAGAATGTATTAGAGCTGAAGAAAAGGTTGCCAAATATCGTGTTCTTCGGCAAAATAGACTACGATACTTTCAATCATTTAGACTACCTCTTCGCTCAGGACGCTAAGGAGCTCCTGTACAATAGAATAACAAAACTTATTTCTCAGTATTAATTACCAAGTAAAAAATAGGCTAATTAATTCATATAAATAATTAATAAGTGTAACATATAGTGATTAATTACATTTAATGATCGATGAAGCTAACATCTCAAAATAACAATAATAAAAAAAGTTATTGCCGCTATATGCAGTAATTTTTTTTTTTTTAATTATAATTGTAAATAATACTGGATAAAAAATTTATATGTCGATATCATCGATCTAGTATGATGTTTTCTATAACTAGTTACTTATATCAGTGCAAAGTACGGTTTAATACTATAATTTAATGATTATAAAAACACATCATAAACGTACAGTGGTAACCCAGTCTATTGCACAACCTAAATCACACTATCCATTTCACATCTCCAACTATCTTCTTACAAGTGAAATCATTTCGTGGGTTACTTTTGAGAGGATCAATTCTCTAGATTTATTTATTGTGAGATACTTGGATTAACTATGCCATATACCCGTTCTAACTGTATCATATTTGTCTTATTTTTATCTTTAATATATTCAGTGAAATTGTTATGGTGTTTGAACTTGCTTCCGCAAGAAAGGATGTTGAAAGTTCGAACTCTTAGAGAAGCTAATAGTAGCAATACTGTATTAGATTTTGTAAGTTGTTTTATTTATTAATTATTGTTATAATTACTTTTTTAAATTTTATTTTTATCAAAATTTATTTTTAAAAATTATTATTTAAAAAATAACACTTTTAAATTTGAAATTTTTTTTGCCATAATTTATTTGTTAAAAATATTTTTAAGTTTTTTTATTTTTTGTTATTAAGTATTGTAATAATAATAATTAATTAATATTAATCAATTATTTTAATAATAATTTTAAAAATTTAATTTTAATCAAATTTACTCCGAAAAATTATTTTTAAAAAATAACACTTAAATTTTTAAATGTCAATTTTTTTGTCATAATTTATTTGTTAAAAATATTTTTAAGTTTTTTTATTTTTTGTTATTAAGTATTGTAATAATAATTAGTTAATATTAATCAATTATTGTTGGAATAATTAATTAATTAAATTTTTATTTAAGATTGGAATAGCTAAAGAATTTGGATACAAAGCAGAACAGCACAATTTAACAACAAGCGATGGATACATACTGCAGATATTTAGAATTCCAAAGGGAAAATTTCACTACCAAGAAGAAAGAAATGGTAAACCAGTTATTTTATTAGAACACGGGCTTCTGGCTTCAGCTGACATTTGGGCGGCGCTTAGACGATCTCTTGGTGAGTTAACTTAATTTAATTTTACATTGTGTATAAGGAAAATAAATAAATGAACATTGCAAAAAAAAATATTTAATATTAAATATTAATAATATTTCTACCTTTTTTTTTCAGTGTACGTTCTGGCTGATGCTGGGTACGATGTCTGGCTTGGAAATGTCCGGGGAAATTGTTACGGTCGTGCTCATAAAACTTTGTCACCTGAAGATCCTAAATTTTGGAATTTCACGTAACTATTTTTTAAATTATTTATTATTTCTTCTTTTAAAAATTATTTATAATATTAAGAAAATTATTAACATTTAGTAGAATATTTTAACACAGTAAAGTGAATCATAAATTTAGCACACTTGTAAGAAGCCTCTCTCTCACCTTAGTTACTTCTGAGGCTCAACATGCTGCAATAAAATTTTATGTGTTACTATAAAAAAATATTGTTTGCAATGCAAAAAATTCAATGTAATATTTCTAATATTTATTCAAGTACATAAAATATTTTTTTTTTTTAATTTGAATATCTAGCTGGTTATAAAAAAATTAATTTATAATTTTTTAAATGCACAAAAATAATAAGAATAAATTTTAATTTAATTTTTAGATTGAAAATTTTATATTTAATTATAAAAAAATTTTTTTTAATTAGAAAATAATTTTTTTAATTAGAAAAAAAATTTAATAATTAAAATTAAATAATCAGATAGCAATTTTAATAATAATTAATATTATTACAGTTTTCATGAATACGGTGCAATAGATTACGCAGATACAATAGACTATGTACTTGAAACAACGAATAAAACTACTCTAACTTACATCGGTCATTCAATGGGAGGAACTTCAATTGTAATATTACTGTCTGAAAAACCAGAATTTAATGAAAAATTGAATGCTGTAATTGCTCTATCGCCTACGGTCTACTGGAAGAAGAAAGACCCTTTGAGGAATTTATTTACAAGCACATTTTATGGAATTGGAGTATCTAAAATTTTTTAATAATTAATTTATTAATTTTTATTGAATATTTTTTAATAAGTAAATTATAGAATGCTAATTAATATAGTTGATTTATTTTTTTTGCAGCAAATGATTGACCCCACTGGTATGTCCGAGTTCTTGCCTCAAAGCACGTTGGTCAGAAACTTACTAACGGATTATTGCGAAACTTTAAATCTTGTAGATGCTTGTATTCTTATATTGAAATTGTTTATTGGATTTGATGATGACCAAATGGATAATGTAATTTTATTTTTAATTAAATATTTAATATTAATTAATTTAAAAAAAAATTAAATAATAATTAATTTAAAAAAATTAAATATTAATTAATTTTTTAACACTTGATATTTTATATTATTAATATTAATTTTTTTTTTAGAATGAAATGATATATTTATCAAATTATTATCCAGCTGGAACTTCAACAAAATCAATGTATCATTACTGTCAATGTGCAATAACTGGTAAAAATAATTATTTTATTTAATCTACTAAATAAACTAATAAAAAAAATTTTTTTTTTTTTTTCAGGTGAATTTAGTAAATATAATTACGATAAAAATAATATTAATTATTATAACCAAGAAGAGCCTCCAGCCTACAAAGTTAAAAATATAATTGCACCTATGGTAATTTTTTACGGTGAAAATGATCCACTGAGCACTTTGGTAGACAACAGAGAATTGATAAGACGCGTGACAAGTAATGTCACTCTAATAAAAATAGACTACAACAAATTCACTCATTTGGATTTTGTGATAGCCAAAGACGTGAAAAAGTTCTTCTATGCAAAACTTATTGACGTACTATCAAAATATAATTAAGATTATTTTTTTAATAACTAGATAAAATTGTAAATATAATTTTTAATGTATTTTATATTATCTGTTAAGTCGAGCTACATTAATGATAAATCTTACAGTAAAAGATAATTTAATATTCTATTGTTGACAAAGAGTATGTTTTAATGAACATCTTTGAATTCCTTCGGGGCATCAGGAAATTGCTTATCGTAAAGTTTCATGTATTCAAGCTTACGTTTCTCTCTTAGAGCAAAGTATTTTGGATACATAGCTTTCTCAGTTGGATGCCAGTAATCGAGAACCCAGTCTGGAGGTATTACTTCACGTTCGTGAGCACAACCACCTGGAGATTCTGGGAAGTACAATGGTTGTGGGTGCATTATTTTTTCTAACTTTAATTCTCCTTCTAGTAACAATTTTTTTGCTACTCGCAGATCTTTTATATCTTTGTTTTTGTCAAAGATCTCGCGAGTGAGTACAGCTTCATACCTAAAATCATTTTTTAATCTATACTATTAAGAGAATAGATAGATTGCATTCGAAAATGCTCTATCTCTAGATACATAATTAAGAAATGATCTTGTATCTTGAGAACTATTGACATTTTTAAAGATATAAGCTCATCCCGATGTTACACTTATCGAGAGCTTTCATTTAAGTACCCACATCAATTTTTCATATATTTTATATATTTATATATATCAGAAATACCATATATATAAAATATATAAAAATTGCCATGTGGGTACTTAAATGAAAAGTCTCGATGAGTGTAACATCATGATGAGATTATATCTTAAAAAATTTCATAATTTAACAAAAAATACAATATAACTTCTTAATTATTGACATTTTTAAAGATATAAGCTCATCCTGACATTACACTCATCAAGACCCTTTATTTGAGTACCCGCATGAATTTTTCATATATTTATATATATTATATAGATATGTATATATGAAAAATATATCAAAAATTCATGTAGGTACTCAAATGAAAGGTCTCGATGAGTGTAACATCATGATGAGCTTATATCTTTAAAAATATCAATAGTTCACAAGTAACAAGGTAATTTCTTAATTATTGACATTTTTAAAAATATAAGCTCATCTCGATGTTACACTCATCAAGACCTTTCATTTGAGTACCCACATCAATTTTTCATATATTTTATATATTTATATATATCATATATATGTATATATGAAAAATATATCTAAAATGCATGTGGGTATTCAAATGAAAGGTCTCGATGAGTGTAACATCATGATGAGCTTATATCTTTAAAAACATAAATATTTAAGAAAGTACAGTGTAATTTAAGAAAATTCATTATTTAATAAAGCAAATATTATTTATAGTTCACAAGGCAGTCACATAGTGACTGCCAGATTCTTAGTTATTATTTACTCCAAAAAAAGTTTCAACAAATTCGTTTTAAATTATCGTAAAAAAAATTTAGAAAAAAAACTGACATAAATAAATTAAAAAAAAAAAAAAAAAAAAAAAAAAAAATGCAATTTTCTAAAAACAAATTTGTTTGTCGGAAAAAATTAAAAAATTGTCAATATGCTAACTTTAATGTCATTCAATTTAATTAGCATAATATAAAAACAACTTACCTAAAATCAAGAAAATCAGGATACCAGGACTCATAATTCCGAAGAATGCGTTTGTAAAGACTGCATACCTTTCTAGCATGAGTAACAATTCCAGTTGGTACTGAATGAGCCATTTTAATTATCACTTGCTCCAATCACTAGTACCCAGGATCTAATCTCTTGTTATTACAATCAGCTGTAACCTAAAACAAAATAAATTTAGATATTTAATAATTTTTTAACAAATAAATTATGACAAAAAAAATTGACATTTAAAAATTTTTAAAAATAATTTTAACAAATTTATTAAATAAAAATTATTAAATGTCATTAACCTAAAACATTATGTAAAAAAATTGAAACACTAATTTAAAACAACAATTAAGTTAATTACAACCCAAGATGTTTAATAAAAATAATCAGCTGATGTCATTAACAAAAATACCAAAAAAAAATATCTAAAATACAAAAATTAATTAAAATGTCTCACCATAAATTTTGAAGATAAAAAACCTAGCTGCGTAGTGAAACAGAATATGTCCCGTGTAAGCATACCACTAAATATATTTACAAATATACTCACTTGTGTCAGTGTGTTGAATTGAATGTAGATATTGAAGTATGCTTTAATGCCTTCAGTACAGAATGGTAAGCTGCAAAAATGGCGGATGAGCAGGTGAGTGTAGAATAAAAATAAAATCAACATTTAAACATTATTAATAAATAAAATTAATACTAATTATTACAGATAACTTATTAAACAATTACTTATTTATTTATTTAATAATAAACAAATAATAATAAATAGTAGAGATACTATTTATATTTATTAAAAAACAAACGGCGTAACCTTTGGATTCATCTGCCGGATCCGTAATCACTATAGCTACTTTATGTTTTTATCTTTATGACAATCAAAACACGTATTGTTTACGTTATGGTTTTTTAAAAATAATTATTGTCAATTGTACAGTATCTGTGGTTATTAACAATAGTTTGATTTAATTAAATTATTTTTATTTATATAATTAAATATTATTTTTGACAGATTTGTTTTTTAATTTAATAAATTTATTTTTTTAAAAATAATTTTTAAAATGTTTATTATTATTATTATTATTTAATTTTTATTTTTTAATTTATCAACACTGATAAAATAATTTTTTTTTTTTTCAGTACCAAGAATAACGCGTTATACTTTGCAGTGTTGTCACAACACTAAATAATCACTCTAATTTATTTTTTAGGAAGTTTATTTAATTGGATTTTTTTTAATCAATAAATAAATAATGGTTATTATTAAATTAATTTATTTTTTATTGTAATTAAATTTTTTCTGGAGTACCTGTCAAAAAAAAAAAAAAAATTTTTTTTTATAACCTAACAAAAAAATGTAAACAGTTAAATTTTGGGGTTTTAAATTGTACTGTAGCTCTAATTAGTGTTAAATAATTTTTTTAAATTATTAGTATGAGTATGACAGGAGTTTGTAAAATGACAATTAAATAAAAATAATTTAAATTGTTATTTTTGATGCAGGAAGTACAGCAGCTAGAGTTGCTGTGCAAACAATTGTACGAGTCTCAGGATGCAGCTCACCGTGCAGAAGCTGAAAAAGCATTAGTAGGTTTTCAAAATGCACCGGATACACTCACTAAATGTCAATTATTATTGGAAAGAGGCGATTCCGCTTACGCTCAATTGCTCGCTGCTACTACGCTCACTAAATTGGTATCAAGATCTGCCCAAGGATTGAGCTTGCAGCAGAGACTTGACATCAGTAAGTATTTAAAAAAAAAAAATGACTATTTAATATTTTTTTTTATGACACTGAAATTAAAAGGAAATTACATTAAATTAAAGCTAGCAGTCACTTGATAATTTTTTAATTTTATTTAATAAAAAAATTTCTTCCTAAAAATGATTTTTAAAAAATTGCATTTTTTATTTTTTATAATTTTTACATGTCAATTTTTTTTTAATAATTTATTTCTTAACAAAATTCTAAAAATGATTAAATACCTGCTACTTTAATTTTTATAAAAAAATGGCATTAAAGTTAGCAGCCACTTAACAATTTTTTAATTTTATTTAACAAATAAATTTCTTCCAAAAAATTATTTTAAAAAAAATTGCACTCCATAAAAATTAATAAAAAATTATCAGTGAATATGTTGAATAATAATTATAACACGTGATTTGTAATTTAGGGAATTATGTTCTGAATTACTTGGCAACCAGGCCAAAATTACCGAGTTTTGTGATACAAGCATTAGTCACGTTATTTGCAAGAATATCAAAGCTAGGATGGTTTGATTCTGATAAAGACGACTATGTCTTCAGAAATGTTGTTGGAGACATTTCAAAGTTTCTTCAAGTATGTAAAAGCCAAGTTTTATTTTAAACTATCGATATTTATCTTATATTCATAAATAATAGCTATGATGGATAGTTTAATAAAGTAATTATTTTTTACTAGGGATCTGTGGAGCACTGCATGATTGGAGTACAACTGCTCTCCCAATTGACCTGCGAAATGAATCAAATTTCAGAAGCAGACGCCAATAGGTCACTGACTAAGCACAGAAAAATAGCTAGTAGTTTTCGTGACACTCAATTATTTGAAATATTTCGATTGTCATGTTCATTATTGGGTACAGCAAGAGAAAATTGTAAAAATTTAAACTTTAATGATGAATCACAGGTAATTTTTATTTTAGAAAATTATTTTTTACTTTTTTAATAATAAAAGTTATAATAACTAGCAACAATAATTAACTATAAATGAATTTTGATAAATTGTACTGTACTTTCTTAAATATTGGCATTTTTAAAGATATAAGCTCATCCTGATGTTACACTCATCAAGAGCTTTCATTTGAGTACCTACATCAATTTTTCATATATTTTATATATTTATATATATTATATATATGTATATATGAAAAATATATCAAAAACGCACGTGGGTACTCAAATGAAAGGTCTCGATGAGTGTAACACCATGATGAGCTTATATCTTTAAAAATATCATAACCTGACAAAATACAATATAATTTCTTAATCATTGACATTTTTAAAGATATAAGCTCATCTTGATGTTACACTCATCAAGACCTTTCATTTGAGTATCCACATGTATTTTTCATATATACATATATTTAATATATATAAATATATAAAATATATGAAAAATTGATGTGGGTACTCAAATGAAAGCTCTTGATGAATGTAACACCATGATGAGCTTACATCTTTAAAAATGGCAATAGTTCACAAGATACAAGGTCATTTCTTAATTATGTTATATCTTATAATAATAATAATAATAATAATCATTTTTAGCACGGATTAATGACCCAGTTATTACGCTTAGCCCGTAACTGTCTAACATTTGATTTCATCGGAACATCAACAGACGAAAGTTCTGACGATTTGTGTACAGTCCAAATCCCAACAAGTTGGCGACCAGCATTCCTAGATTTTACCACATTAAAACTATATTTCGACTTGTACCACAGTCTCCCGAATACCTTATCATCATTAGCATTATCGTGTCTAGTACAATTAGCCTCAGTCCGACGTAGTTTATTTTCCAACACCGAGAGAGCTAAATTTTTAACCCACCTGGTAAACGGAGTGAAGCACATCCTTCAAAATCCCCAAGGATTGAGCCATCAGGATAACTACCACGAGTTTTGCCGACTATTAGCCCGACTAAAAAGCAATTACCAGCTCGGAGAATTAGTTATGGTGGAAAATTACCCAGAGGCGATCCAATTAATCGCAAAATTCACCGTTCAGAGTTTGCAAATGTGGCAATTTGCACCAAACAGCGTCCACTACTTGCTGAGCTTGTGGCAACGGATGGTAGCTTCAGTGCCCTATGTTAAAGCAACAGAGCCCCATTTGCTGGAGACCTACACTCCGGAAGTATCCAACGCTTACATCACTTCCCGGCTAGAGTCAGTTGCCGTGGTGGTGCGCGATGGCTTGGAGGATCCTCTTGATGATCTGGGCATGGTCCAGCAGCAACTGGAGCAGCTGTCGGTCATTGGAAGGTGCGAGTACCAAAAAACATGCACGCTGCTGGTCCAGCTGTTCGATCAAGCTGCTAGGGCCTATCAGGAGCTTCTTGCCCAGACTGCCAATAATAATCCCACTCATCAAATCGAGATCACCATCCAGGAGGGCCAGCTGACCTGGCTGGTCTACATCATCGGCTCCGCGATTGGTGGTCGCGTTTCCTTTAATAGCAATGAAGAGCATGATGCCATGGACGGCGAGCTTGTTTGCAGGGTCCTCCAGCTGATGAATCTTACCGACTCGGGACTCTCTCAGGGTGGCTGTGAGAAACTAGAGCTCGCTATGCTCAGTTTCTTTGAACAGTTTCGCAAGATATATGTCGGGGATCAGATCCAAAAAAATTCTAAGGTCTATCGCAGGTTGTCGGAAGTTCTGGGGCTCAGTGATGAAGCCATGGTACTCAGTGTTTTTATTCGTAAAATGTAGGTTTTTTATTTTTTTTGATTTATGTTTTTATTGGATTGGTAGGAATTGTGATTGATTTTGTTTTTTTTTTTTAGAATAACTAATTTAAAATACTGGGGAAGTAGAGAGCAAATTATTTCAAGGACGCTTCAATTATTAACTGATTTATCTGTAGGATACAGTTGTGTCCGTAAGCTTGTTAAACTTGAAGAAGTACAATTCATGTTAAATAATCACACTGTAAGTATTTTTATTTATAAAATATACCTAAATATTTTTTTTTAGCAGAAGACTAATTTAAAAAAAATTTTTAAGTAATTTTTAAATAATTAAAAAAAACTAATTTTTTAAAAACTTACTTTTAAAAATAATCTATAAAGGTAATTATTTACAAGTGGGATCAATCTTATTGATGGCCTATTTTTGGCCATATCTAGGTGAAAAATTAACATTTAAAAATTTATTTTAATTGGAAAAAATTTTGGCTCATATTTTTGGATAAAATTTCTATTTTATTTTTTTTTTTTTTTTGATGTTTTTATATATATTTTTTTGAAAAGTACATAAAAAAATGAACAATTTTTTTTAATTTTAAATAACTTTTTTTTTTTTTAATTCATTTTTTTTTTATGTATTTTTTAAAATAAATATATCAATAAAATCAAATAGAAATTTCATTGAAAAAATTGAAATATAAAGTGGTTGACCCAAAATAAAAAAATATGGCATTTAATCATCATATTAAAAAATTACGCAATTAATTGCGCAGTGATTATAGCTTTAAAAAAATATTCTGAGTTTGTTTATAACGCGACCAGCCATAAAGCGGTCAAAAATAACTAGCGTACAATTGGAGACTGAGTGCATTTCATAATTAATTTAGTGATATTTATCGGCATAATATAAAATATTTTAGTTTTATTATGTTAATTAAAGATCAGATTCCAACTTTTTTGAAAAAATAAAGTTAAATTATAAGTTTTGATATTATTTTAAGACCGGTCAACTATTGGATCCGTCAGAAGCCCTTTACCCAGTAAAAAATTCATTCGGTCATTTATTAGACCCTCTGATTTTATCACAATCCAATTAATGACCGTATATTTATAATACTAACTTCTCAACCTTAAAATGAAATCTGTCAAGTGTTTAAAGTACTTTAGTCATTCAATATTTTGTAAATATAAAAATAATCATTATAAAATGTATATTTATAATTAAAATAATACTTAAAATCTTTTTTGATTATTAAATTTTATTTTGTTGTAATTTTTTTAGTGAACGGTTATATCAAAGAACTAATTATTAGAAGAAAAAATTCCTAAGCAATTAAAAAAATAAAAAAGAGTTACAAGCATTTAATTACATACGTGTAGTTTACAAAATTACTTATAATTATTTGAGCGGTCAATTAATTGGAGAACGGTCGGTCATTTATTGGGTTTCTTCGGTCAATAATTGGTGATTTTAGTATTTCAACATTCAAATAACAAAATTAATATAATTTTGTTAATTTTTATTATAAATAGTTATTAATTATTATTAATTAAGTATTTAACTTTAATAATATCCATTACAAATTGTTTTTAATAGGTTAATAGATTTTTTATAGCTTAGTACAGAAAAAGAAAACCTTAATCGGTCAATAATTGGTGCATTTACCCTATAATTAAAAAAAAAAAAGAATTTTTTTTAAATAATTAAAAAACAATTTTGATATTTTCAGAGTGAACATTTTCCATTCCTTGGTAACAATGTAGCAGTAACAGAAATGCGTTGCAGGTCAATGTTCTATACTTCATTGGGAAGATTATTGATGGTAGATTTGGGTGAAGACGAAGAAAGATTTCATACATTCATGTTACCCCTCACAGGTGCAGTACAATAATATTTTTAATTATTGCTGACTAACTTGTAAATAAACTTACTGATAAATATATATATTCAAATTTTTTTTTTAGCTGCTTTGGAAAGTCTAGGTCAGTTAATGGGTGCAGCAGATACCCCACTATTCGCAGCAGAGGAAGCTAAAAAAGCATTGATAGGAATAGCGCGTGACCTGCGAGGTCTGGCGTACGCTTTCAACACAAAAACTTCCTATATGATGCTCTTTGACTGGATGTATCCTTTTTTACCAAACTAATTTTTAATTAATGATTAATTAAAAACTTATTTTTAATTAATTATTGATTATTGATTAATTATTATGATCTATCAAGTCCTTAATATTTACCAATCAGATATCCGAATTACACGCCGATCTTGTTGCACGCAATCGAGTTATGGCACCACGAGCCCCAGGTGACGACGCCAGTGCTGAAATTATTCGCAGAGCTGGTCCAGAACCGCAGTCAGCGACTCCAGTTCGAGGTATCATCTCCCAATGGAATCCTCCTGTTTCGCGAAGCCAGCAAAGTTATTTGCAGCTACGGGAATCATATATTGAACGTCGAAGTGCCCAAGGATCAAATGTACTCGCTGAAGCTAAAGGGGATCAGCATTTGTTTCAGCATGTTGAAAGCTGCCTTGTGTGGAAGCTACGTCAATTTTGGCGTTTTTAGGCTCTATGGCGACGAAGCGTTGGATAATGCACTCAATACTTTTGTCAAGTTATTACTCAGTATACCTCAAAGTGACCTATTAGTAAGTCAAATATCTAGAGCCAGGATTTTAGCCGTAATTTCAAAATAACAATTAATAATTAATGGGGTCAAATTTTTGATATTACAGCGGAAATATTGGTGGTATAAAAAAATTATTGTAACAAAAGTTTTTCAAAATTTAATTTTATAAAAAAAATGTTATAATTTTTTTTTAAGACCAATTGTAAAGCTGTGATTTAAAAAATTGAGATTTTTATAATTGGTAAAAAATTTGAATTATTTATTATGAATTTTAATTAAAGAATTGCGATGAAAATATTGGTCAGATAAAAATTTTTTTTAATTAAAATTACTCAGTATAATTTTATAAAAAAATATCCCTTATAATTTTTTCTTAAGACCAATTTAAAAGCTGCAATTTTTAAAATTTAGACTTATAATTACCAAAAATTTGAATTATTATTTATTATGAATTTTAATTGAAGAATTACGGCAGAAATATTGGTCATAAAAAAAATTTTTTAATACAAATTGTTCGGAATTTAATTAAAAAAAAAAAAAAATGTCTTATAATTTTTTCTTAAGACCAATTAGAAAGCTACAATTTAAAAAATTGAGATTTTTTTAATTACTAAAAATTTGAATCATTTATTATGAATTTTAATTAAAAAAATTACAATGAAAATTTTGGATAAAAAAATTATAAGATACATTTTTAGTAAAAAATTAAATTTTCAATTTTTTTCCGGCAAAAATCTTGGGCCTAATAATAATTTAGATTAAAGATTTATTACAAAAAAATTAATAAAATAATTTAACTACTCTAGGACTATCCAAAATTATCAGCGACGTATTACGTGCTACTGGAGTGCCTGGCGCAAGACCACATGGCATTTCTATCAACCTTAGAGCCACGGGTCTTTCTGTACATCCTATCCAGCATCAGCGAAGGCCTAACGGCACTAGGTGCGCTAAAAGACTCCTACACAGGTCTGTGCGGCTGATTCTCTCATGTATACTCTACATCCTCTTTGCCAACCACATAAATATCAATATATTTCACGTACAATGTCTAAACCCATGATTTTAGAGTGTAAGACATTTGTCATGGTGGTTTTATCAAACGAACATCATGGGCTTGCTGCGTTAGTGCTTGGAATGTTTATAATTGCTCTTTTATTATTGATAGCTGAACTCATATTTAAATTAATTATCATAGCGATAGATTACTATGCACATCATTAGAACGTAACTAGACCAAGAGGATTGGAGTGCATAAAAATTATTGCTCGCCCGTAAAATAAATAATTTTAGCTAATTTTTTTTTTTTTTTTTTTTTTTTTTTAATTAATTAATTACAAAATCCGGTTATGGTTTACAAAAGCTTGTAATTGTCATATTTTGCCCACAAGCTTCCGGATTATATTCTATAAAAATATTATCTTCAATTGTCGTAATTACGGGCCTAGCACTTGCAATCAGCCGCACAGCTGGACACATTATTTAATTATTAACATGGTTGTATTACCACATTAGCGTAAGTTGTTCATCTTCTCTAATTTACTAATTAGTAGCATGAATTTTGATATATATTTTTATTAATATAATTGATATTATTTTTTAGCCGTGATGATATTTATCGTAACATTTATCATTTATTCCCATTAAACGCTACCGACCTAACAGATTCATTTTTATTTATTTAATTAATTAGTTTGCATGCAAAAAACTAGCGGTTAATTTGATTTCAGACACCATGGTCTGCACGGGTTGCTGCGCGACACTTGATCATATTGTTACGTATTTATTTAAGCAGCTTTCGCAGAAAGGTGAGTTGAAATATTTTTTTTTTAATTAATTAATTAATTATTTTTTAAGAAATTAATTTTATTTTTTTTTTCAGCTGGAGTTTATCCAGGGAAGAAAAATGCGGCAGTGACAGCCGGGGGTGAATTGTTCTTGCAAGTACTCAAACAACATCCGGAAATATTGCAGCAAATATTGAGCACTGTTTTGAATGTTATTATGTTTGAGGACTGCAGAAATCAATGGAGCATGTCGAGACCACTTCTGGGTCTTATTTTACTCAATGAAGAAGTATTTATTTATTTTTTATTTTTTTTTTTAGAACGTTATGGACAGTTTGTTTGTATATTGATATTATTTGTTTTTGTTACAGTATTTTGGCCAATTGCGAGAAAATATTATTAGAAGTCAACCAGTTGATAAACAAGCAGCTATGGCTCAGTGGTTTGAAAATTTAATGGATGGTATTGAACCAAATTTGTTAACGAAAAATAGAGATAGGTAATTTTTTTAATTTTTTATTGGTTAATTTTTAGATTAAAAAACTTTATCATTTTTTAGTGACCTTGTATCTTGTGAAATATTGGCATTTTTTAAGATATAAGCTCATCCTGATGTTACTCTCATCAAGACCTTTCATTTGAGTACCCACATCAATTTTTCATATATTTTATATATTTATATATATTATATATATGTATATATGAAAAATATATAAAAAATGCATGTGGGTACTCAAATGAAAGCTCTTAATGAGTGTAACATCATGATGAGCTTATATCGTTAAAAATCTCATAAGTTAACAAAGTACAATATAATTTCTTAATTATTGACATTTTTAAAGATATAAGCTCATCTCGACATTACATTCATCGAGACCTTTCATTTGAGTACCCATATCAATTATTGATATATTTTATATATTTATATATATTATATATATATGTATATATGAAAAATATATAAAAATTAATGTGGGTACTCAAATGAAAGCTCTTGATGAGTGTAACATCATGATGAGCTTATTTATATCTTTAAAAATGTCAATAGTTAAGAAAGTACAGTGCAATTTAACAAAAGCCATTATTTAATAAAGCAAAATTTTAATTTTTTATGGTTAAAAAAATGATAAAGTTTTGCATCTAAATATTATTAATCAAATTGTATTATATTAAATATAAATTAATTTATTGTTTTTTATAAAACCAGGTTTACTCAAAATTTATCAATGTTCAGGAGAGATATCAATGATTCCCTTAAAGGTCCGAATATGTCTGCCAATTCAACCAACGATATGATGACTTCGTAGTGTTATTAAACAAAAATAATAAGAAGAAAAAATACAAACAAACAAACTATGAATTCATTGTACCTTGATTTAAATAATATGACATTGCCTGCCGATAAATGAATCAAATGCACGTATGTGTGTCTGTGAATGTAAGAGTGAATACGAAAGAGAAATGATTAAAGAAAAAAAAAAAAAAGTTTTTGAATAAAAAAAAATAAATTACGGAGTGAAATTTATTGAATAGATTTAAACAATTAAATTTTTTTTATTTAGCCACAAAGAGTGTAGCGAATGTGGACTGCGGCCTTAATGCTGTTTGTGGTATCAGTTGATGTTTTCAATAAAACATTCTGTTAATTTAATAATAATATACTATTAATAGAATCAATAATAATAATAATAGAAAAATAAGGAATTAACTGAAGACAAAGCAGTCGCCATAAAAATATAAAAATTACTAAATTACTCTAATGTAAATGAAGATAGTGCTCACATCTTATCGTAATTAAAACAATAATTTAATTTAATTGATAATAATTAATAATAAGAAGAAGAAAAAAAAAACGATTTTATAATTATATTATAAAATAAAAAAGCAAGTTATCGTCGTTGTCTTTCAAGAGCATTTTAAGTACGCTGTGATTAACTTGCGTCGCCATTCATCTCTTGATTTTTCAAGCCCATTTTTTTTTTTTAAATCGTTGATATAATTCATAGCAATGTTAATAAAATATTAATAAATCATGCTTCGTAATTATTGAGGGCTTTTTTTTATAATAATTATTTTAGCCGTAATGCATCCTTCATTTTTTTTTTTTTAATTGAAAAAAAGAAATAAGCGGTATTAAAAATAAAACTTTAATTAATCAATAATAATTAAAAATAATATATATTTAGGCGCTTTTTTATATTCTGACCGTACTATTTAATTTTGAGACAGTTTAACGCACTCTCTTTCGTCTTGGGGGTGTAACTCAGTGGTAGAGTGCTCGCTTCGCATGCGAGAAGTCCAGGGTTCAAATCCCTGCTCCTCCAAAGTATTTTTTTTTTTTTATTAAATTAATTGTTTCTTTTTTATTTAAACATTTTTTTTAATTAAAATTGAAAATTTTTTAATTATTAATTATGATACTTAAAAAATTTCAGATAAAAAATTGTGAAATTTTTAAAATTTACTCCAGCAGTGTTTATTTTGATGAAACTTTTTTATTAATTAAATATTGAGTAGTTATTTTAATAAAAATTTTGTTTTTTGTAGAATTTTTTCATTGGAGTATTTTTTATTGAAATAAAAGTCGTCATAATAATAACTTGGGGGTGTAACTCAGTGGTAGAGTGCTCGCTTCGCATGCGAGAAGTCCAGGGTTCAAATCCCTGCTCCTCCAATTCACTTTTTGTTTTTATTAATTATTTACACTAAAAACTATAATATAAAATTAAAATTTTACGTACCTTATTAATTTTGGTGTTGAAGAAAATTACATACAGTAATTATGCTTACAAATTTCTTCATTGAAATTTTATTAATAATTCTTTATATGAATTTTGATATTTCTTCTTTGTTATTAGTTAATTAACTAATTTTCTTGATAATATTTATAATTAAAAAAAAACTTCAACAAAGATGATGATAAAATTGACAATCTGTCAATTTTTGGAATTTTTATAACTAATTATTGTGAAATAAAACTTTTAGATGTAAATTTCAGAATTATTAACACAAAGAAGGTTATATTTTCATAACCATAAAACTGATCATACTGAAGCCAGCTAACAGCTGTTAAATTTTTTAATTTTTATAACAATTAAATTACACTAAAAAATACTTTTAAAAAATGTCCACTAGCTAATTTAATTTTGGAGTTTTTTTATTTAATTATTTTGATAATAATTCATTGTTTTAAAATTATAAAAAATTTTTTTGTCAGTTAACTTCAGTGTCATGTTATTAATATAATATAACAGAGTTTAGTTTAAATAATATTTTCAAAATGGCTGCAGTTACACCCCCTAAACTAGTTTCAAAATAAATAAAAAAAAAAAAAAAGCAATTAATCTTGTCAAAAATGCAAAGTAAAAATAAATAAAACAAGTTTCTTTTTTTTTTATGCAAGTAAAGTTTATTAAAATATAAAAAAAATTATTAATAAACACACACTTTACATTTTATTAAAAAAATTATTACAAAAAATTTATGATACTGAAGTTAGCCATCAGCTGTCAATTTTAAAAATTTTAATAATCAATTACAATAAAAAAATGCTTCTACAAATTTTCACTTATAATTTTTATTAATTTTTACATGTGGAATGTTTTAATTTTATTGCCATAAAATTCTAAAAAAATTTTTAATGTCTGTCAACTTCAGTGTCATAAAAATTTTTATTTATAAAAATTTTTAAAAAATATTTTTTTGTTCTAATTCAATTAATGATAAATAAAAAGCTTCTAAAAATTTGAACCAATAATTTTCTTTTTTATAAAATAATATAATTGTTATAAAATTATAAAAAAAATTAATGTCAGTCAATAATTTCAGTGTCATTATACTTAAGAGATAAAAATCCAGATGTTACATGAGTATTTTTCTTATTATTTATTTATTCATCACAAAGTATATATTTAGATTTCCATTTTCATATTTTCAGATCCGAGATATTATAATAAAATAAATAAGAGTTAAGATGTGAGTCCCGACCCATTGATAAGCACTTGAGCAGCAGGAGACACGGAAATTTCTAGCCCAGCCTAGTCACTCCTGCGGCACTAGTACTTAGGAACAGGACAGGATTATTAGCTCAACAATAATATTTACATCTATAAATATTCAAGCAAGCTTCTCGGCAGTGTCATTAAATCCGACGACGTGATTTAAAACGAAATAAAAAGGTACATTATATTATATTATATACGAGATAAGTAATATACAATAGAAGTGTTTGAAGCCGGAAGAATAAACGAGACTTGGACAGTGGAAGCCCTCATTGAACCGACCTCGGTCAGTCATTGAAGCCGCCTACTTCTCATTCATTTCAACAAGTGCCCTCATATTCACGCATGTCTCTTTATCTGCTAGGCCAGTCTGAAAATAAAGAGCCAATTCAATATATTAATTTCAAACTTTCAAGAATATTAATCCTAATTATAATTGTAATTTTAGTTATTTATTATCCGGATTAATGATGCACGTTATTTTTTTTAGGTTAAACTCAAGTGCATTAACGCACTTGCATTGCGACAATATCTCAATGTGGTTCAATGGTATGTATATGTATTAATATATATGTATAACTGAATGAGCTCCTCTGTTTTCGCTCATACTCATACTGTCATCGTCATCGTTGGTTACGCTTGCCCAGTCTGACCTTCTTCATCTCTTCTTACTCATCATCATCATCATCATCATCATCATCTTCTTCTTCTTTTTCTTCTTTGGCATTAATACTCTGAGGGGCAAAAAATAAAATTAATAAATTGTATTAATTTAAATTATACATTTTTATTTTATTATTATTATTATTATTAAACTGCTAAATTTTTTCTGAATAATAATAATAATAATAATAATAATAATTATTATTATTATTATTATTAAAAAATTATTGGGTTGGATGAACATTAAACAAAAAGTAATATATATAACTCTTGCATTTTAATACACAAAGTTATATTAAATTATAAGCCGAATTATTTATATAAGAAAATAAAAGAGATTGACAGTAAACATAAATATGAAACTAGAAAGAAAAATGATATTAATGTCTGTATTATCTACTCGAACTCACTCAGTGGAGAAAAGTCTAGCGTATAAGGGTTTCAATTATTATAAAAGAGATTACCAGATGAAATCAAAACAGAGAATAGAATAAATATATTTAAAAGACTGTTGAAGGAATATATCAAAAATATATACTGAAGATTTGAAATTTTTCGTAAATGTTACAATTTAAATATTGTTATTGATAATAAATGTTTATTATTATTTATTATGTTTACTAAATGTAAAACATCAATTTAATTATCCTACAAAAAAATAGCGATGGCTAACTGAAATAAATATTATTATTATTTTTTTTTTTATATTTTAAAGAAGACATTTAAAAAATAAAATAAAAAAAAAATAATTATTAAAAAAAAAGAGGATTATAAAAATGAGAATTTTAATATACAAGTGTTGTCTGTGAGATACATTTATGCAGGGGGAGACTTAAAAAAAGATAGAACTTGTATAAAAGAAGAGACAAAATATTCAATTAACACTAATTCCCACTAATACAAAGTTCCCTCCCCAGCTGCAAAGCAGACAGTAACTAAAATTCTTCAACCGCTTATAATTCGTCTTAAAAATTTTCTCTAAAAAAATAAATACCGTTTGGATTAAAAACATCCGTATCAAAGATAAATAATAAAACAATTAATCTATATATTGATATATATTAAAATCTAAAAATTAAAAATGTTTCTATGACTAAGACTAACGTCTCTTACTCTCTTTGACTCCCTTTCGATGTATTGCTATCGTAAACACAAGGTCAGGAAGTCATTGAGATAACAAATCATCGGATATAGAAATACTTTTTATGTAAAAAATATATTTAAGACTCTAGCAAACTATAAATTCAATATTTAAATATATTTTTATAAATAACACCATAAATATCTATACTCACTTGGTATAAAATGTATAAATATAAAATGCAGAGCTTAAAACAATCGCAGGAAATCTCATGGCCTATTGAACTGTAAACGTGTTACCTCTTCACTTGTTGACATCTGATTTTTTTCACTAATTTTTAAAAATATCTGGCTTAGATTCAATTTTTTAACTTAGTTTTTTTTATTTTACAGAAAAAAAATTAAATATTAATAATTTATTTAAAAAAAAAATAATATTTAAATGAATTATTGTGAAGAAATAAATATTAAAATATGACCACAATGAATCAACAGCCAGAGAGCAACTGACTCGAACTCTCAGAGCGTAGTCTTGGATGCGGGAGCAAATAAAATAAAATAAA